ACATAAGGGCAGCAAGACACGCAAAGAACTGCTCCACAAGAGCAGTAGATTCACCCTCAGAACTTGGTACTAAGTGCATCCACTCCTGACGTTGTTCAATAAGGATTTTGGCACATGCTGGAATCCATCTAAATTTAAGAGTAACGAATTTATAAAGTTAATAATTATTTAATCTCACAGTACAGGTAGTTAATATATTACTAAAAACTACAAAACTGTACAGTTGTTGGTTAAACTTGGTGAAAGATGCCATAGGTCAGGGGTTTACATGCACTGGATGCCAGTTTGAGAAGCCTGGATTGATAAGTCACAAGGGGTTAGGTCCTGTGGATGTCAGTCCCATGGGATACTGGTAAGACCTTGGGATAAGTCCCAGCTGGTAATTAGGCAACTGCCATTTAACATTGAATACACAATTACTACAAGTTAAAATATAAAAATATATTAGAGGAGAAATAGTTTCTGATGCTGCCAATTAATCCTTACTTTCTTTTTAGGAATTCTCTTGTCTTTGCACACTGCTGTTTTACAAGAGATTCAAACTCTGTTGGTGTAACAGGAAGCCCTGATGCAAGTAGCTTGTCTCCATCAACAAAACGCACCTCGGAGAAACTGAAGGAAAAAAGTTAAAGAAAGGATTTCAAGATATTTTGAAGGATGTGTGTCTAAAGAGCCTATATCTATCATCAACTAGGAAGATACTTAGATGATGACAATCAAACTCTCATACCTGTCATACCAGAGGTTCTGAATCTTCATCATCACTGGGTTGGTGATAAACAAGTTCTTTGTACAGGCCTCTTTTGCTGTTCGATAAGAATTGTGCCATGGAACAGGAGCTCTTACAGTCCTACAAGTAGTGTTCAAAAGAACATTTGTCCTTCATCAATTGGGTGTTGTTCTAACTTGTAAAAGCTTGCCTGAGTAATCTGTGTACTACCACTAATAGTGTTCGTGTGTAGTTTCACATTCAGATTGTAAGAATAACTAAAAGAATGATGAATGGAAGAGTTCTTCATGCTTACAAGGCATGGAACCCTACACTGCGGCTTGCTGACTGTGGGATTTTAATATTGCATTATGCCAGAAGCAATTATACATGTACATGCTTCTGATTAAGCAATTAACATGAAAACAGTCTCTTTAAGGTGAAAGAAATGTACAGCATGGTATTTGACACAACACAATGATCTGGTTGGTTCAGCAAGTTAAATCATACTCATGCAACTGCCTAGCCTGCTGAAATTTACTATTATTACAAAGCTGTGTTTGTTACCTAAATCTCTCCATGATTACCAATGATTTGTGTTAAAAGTACCTGCCATGGACAACATCTTGTTCAGGTGAAGTTACATTAATTTTATTCACAGTCAATTTTAATAATCATCACTATTTATTATTTCTTTCAGGACACTAGTTTAAGTCAGTTTGATTAAATACTGAAATACCTCTGAGGAAAAGGTTTTGGTATTTCTTTGATGTGCAGTCTTTGTCTTTCACTGGGATCCATCAGAATATAGTCAACTGCAAGACCAAAACAAAATAACATTTGATGTTCATGAAAAGAAAATGGAATTTTACCAGTTAAAGTGATATAAGGGAAAAAATTATTCATTGCAAATTGCAGTTGTCTGGGAAAGAACAGATGTTTTATTAGGGACAACCCGTGAGCAAGTCATCTGCAAAGTGAAGCCAAGTCAGTGTTCTTCCCCTAATTGAAGACTAACTTTCAGTTTGTCAAAATTTCAGTCCCATGCATAAACCTGCTCTTTTCAGGACTTCCTCACCTACACCATGACACTTAACATAATGACGAAATTTTGGCTAGGCATCCGGCACTAATGCAGTATAAAGAACTACATGGCACCAAGCAGTTGGCTCTACAGTGGTATATTAGATGCTTGTTAGCTACTGGCAGTAGCTAAGAGCTTTCTGATACAAAACTGTACAACTCAAATCTCCCCTGAACTCACCAATAGATTTGCGGACACTGAAGTCATAGTCTCCGCCAACTTCTTGTTTGAGTTTTGTAATAAGAGGATCAAGTTCACTATTTCTTGCCAGTTTATCAGGGATTCTTTTTTGAACTATTCTCTCCATTACTTCTTGATCCTGTGCTGCAAGGGAGTGATCTGGTACTCCACGAGAAATGTAGTACTTATAACGCTGTATAAATGAACAGTTATTAATAATAATGGTTAATCAGTCCCTTACTACATGGATAAAAGGGTTGTTTATAGAAGCAAGCAGCCAATACACTGACACAAGGTTTGATAATTCATAATATCATGCAAAAATCAGATTCAATATAATTGTTTTATCATAAATTTTTCAAGCAATCTGCAAAAGAAGACACTTTTCTCTGAGTTTGCAAAAGTTTGAGAACACCCCACATACCAGGGGCTTAGAAACAAGGCAGACTTTCAACTCAACATGATAACCCAATATCTGCTGCAGAATTAGTACCAGCCGTTAATTGACAACAGCCAATCAAAAACGTGAGTTACCTCTAAGTCACGCTTTGAGACTGCCCCTTCATCCATACTTTCTACAACCTCACAAGATCTTATAATATCCAACTGTTCTGCTGGAGTCATGGCCCGGCTAGGAGGTAATCTGTTTAAAACAAAAACAAATCATATTAATTTTAAAGAAAATCGAAAAGACTTAGCTCAGTTATCCAATGAAGAAAATTTTCATTTGTTAGCCAAGAGACTAGAGAAAAAAGACTAGAGAAAAATCTCATGCAAGTCTCCCACAAGAATTCAATTAGTGCAGATCTTTGGCTCTTGCCATTTGCAGAGATGACATCATCACACCTGACGCTTTTTCCATTGCTGATCTTATACACAAGAAGGATATGTCACACATTCAGTATAAAATTATAGTAAAGCTCAACAACAAGTTTTCCATAACTCAGTGGTAAAGCAAAGGATGACAATTGAGATCAGGATATGCAAGCAAACCAAAAAACTTCAAACAAGTTAGCATGACTGCACACAGTTATTAGTTCTCTAAAGCAGGCCTAGCTTGCTTTTTCTACAATTGAAAAATAACATTCCTCAAATATTTCAACTATCCTTGGTTTTCTGAGTTCACAATAGCTACTTACTAAAAAAAAATGATCAAAAGCAGATTTTAAGTTCTTAAACTCTTTATTCAGTCAGGCAGGACCTGACATAAAGTTAGTCACTCCCCAGACAGTTAAGTAAAATGAGACCTTGATTTTAGGCCCACATTTGAAGCAAAATAAAGCAGCTTATCATACAAACAACTTCCAAAGAACTTACAGAAGTTTTTCTCCTTCTGATTTACTTCTGGCATGTGGACCTGGCACAACAGGCCTTCTCCTGGGTGATGTTGGTTCTTTGGCTATGATCAAATTAAGGACTAAACACATCATGTACAAATGTTATCTGTAGTTCAAAGTCAATTCCTGGTCAAAAAAGTATCTTACCCAGCCATTTACATGAGTTTAGACCTCTTGGTCCTAAACCTCCTGATTTTAACCTCCCATAAGTGACCAAGACAGAATTTCCTTTTAGCCAGCTAATGGTTCTGACCTTAGCAGCTTTCCATCACTGAGTCTCTTATAGCTTAATCAAAATACAGTTGAACCTCTCCACAACTGCCACCTTGAGGACAGAAGAAAGTGGGTGTTATGGGGAGGCAGGGGTGAATGTATGGACAGCTTGCCAGCCTGGACCAAAAAAAAGTGGCTGTCGTGGAGAAAATTGAAATTAACATTTTCAATAAAGGATACAACCTTGCTGAGCTGGTATTCTTGAAGGCAGTCTGGCTGGAGGCTGTACTTTTGCTAAATTTCTAATCTTCAAGCTGCTTGCTGTTGGAGTGTAGTTATTACCAATTGATTCACTGGGTGTTCTAGCATGAGCTGTCTCTTTGAAGGGTGCTGCTCTTGTCCAGGAAGGGTCCTTCATTATAGGGGGGTGCTCACTATGACGTAACACGATCTAAAACCAATAGATAAGTGCTGAGTTTCACAAAAATTATCGAACATCTGGAAGGATTTATCCCATTTAAATCTCTACATTCTCAGATCAGTATGCATATTCTTCATACTATCCTCTATTCATTTCCTTAGTGCTGACAAGGAGAATCTGTTTAACAATCAACCCCTTCATGTTTGATTCAGGGGTGATATTGTTGGAATAAATTAGATGCTTGTCATTCTTAGAGGTTAAAGAGTCAATATATTTATTAGTGGATTAAATATAACAGGTAAAAATTGATGTAAATGCTGTACATATTTTCTCTACCTTTAGACTATGTGGAGAGAAATAAACTCTCTAAAAATATACCTGATCCTAACATGTGCCTTTATAGCTTAGCTGGTGTTTATGTTGTAGTTCAATTTCATACTTAGTTCAAATTTTATTATCCTTTGTTCTTGCATGGTCATGTTAATGTATGATAATGAGTTTGAAACAAAGGAAAATTAAATTTGAACCAAGGATAAAATTGAACTACAACATTTACACCCAACTAGTAAATGGGATTTACCAGTAGGCAAATCTCTGATTAAAGCCTAACCTAGATAGTAGTTCCACAATGTGGCTAACTTTCAACATTGTAACAACTCAAGATCCAATTCTTAGTTCTCCCTTCTAGTTGCTTAGTAACGTAACTCCTTGTCAATTAGTTACTAGATCAAGAGATTGAACAAAGTCTACCTGATAAGTTTGATTCTAGTTGCTACGTAACTCCTTGTCAATTAGTTACTAGATCAAGAGATTGAACAAAGTCTACCTGATAAGTTTGATTATTCTCATTACCTACTTGCTGGATAATATATGAATATTGCAGGAAGAAGTCGCATTTTAATCACAGGGTTTAAATATCCTATATGCATTGTTACAATCCTGTGTAATTTTTGTTCACATATTTATTAATTTATCTAATCATTTATTTATCTATTCATTTATTTATTGGTTTGAATCTTTTTTAATAATACGAACCAAAAATCACATAATTGATATTTTTTTTCTTGATCTCGAGTTCAAGCGACATTTATGTTAAATGTTCTGAGTACTGATTGTTTCACTAGTTTTGTATTTACATTTTTCAGGAAAAAAAATGAAAGAATCGTGCAGTTGCGCATATAGTTCTCCATCGCGAAATCCATATATAATTGTGCTGTGTTGTGAATTTTAGTCAAATAAACAAACGGATATTTAAAATAAACAAAGTCGGTAATCACACATCGTCCGATAATTTGCAAACTAATCTGAAATTTACACCACAGTTACCTGCTCTCGGATACGTTGATTCGTCAACCACAATTCTTTCTTTATCTGTTCATTTTTCTTTTCTCTGATATAATTTATATCTTGCATGGTAACGAATGAAGAGAAAATCGCGACTTTCCGAGTCAGATAAATTATTATGAATGAAGGTTAATTAAGTTTATCTTTTACAACGCAACTACAATGTTATGATTCACCATCAGTTAAGATTTGTGAAACAATGTTATGTTTTGAGGATCGAAGCAGCTGGCCCATTGAAATTAATTAAACAAAATCTCAAAAACATCGACAATCTCTCCATCAATTTGCAGCAGCTGCATAAAATAAAAACCAACCTGATATAATTCTGAAGGTGTTTCGTGAGATGGCGGTAAGGGAGGTAATCCCGGTAAACCGCGGGTTTGTGAGCAACTGAAAACGCCGCTGTCGGCATACTGAAATTAAAGTTATAAAAATATTTAGACACGGTTGGAAATAACTTCGATGCATAAAACGGCCACTACACTCTGCAATCTGTTAGTCATACTTGCCTTTACGCGTTGCATTTTGAAGGATGCTCAATTATCTGGAGGAATCGGAGAGGCTAATCTTGAAGTCCTTGTAGTATATCAATTTCGATTTACCCTAGTTTGTTAATCCACAGTTTAGCCAACTGCGCGATCACCTCTTTGTCAAAATAATTGAGAGAGAATCTACATCCTAGTTTTAAGCCAAGATAGTTAATTAAAAACTCATTTGGACGTAAAGCCAGAAATTGTTTTGCGAACGTATCTCTGACTTTCTTCCTTAGCACTCTCTTAATTTTCATCCGGGACTCCGCGTTGTCATGTTTACCCATTGTCTCGTCACGTTGCTACGCTCCCGCGGAAACGCGCGTAACTCAAAATTTCACGAATAACGTAACGCACTCTAGAGTCTAATTAATATTCACAAAGTAAATGAAAATATTGTCAAAGTTAGCATCTCTACAAAGAAATGATGTCAGCAGGGTAATCTTGAATGAGGTAAAATGCTGGCGCAAGAAATAAAAATTGAAAATGTCATCATCAAGCTTAGTACAACACGACAATTTTTGTCGCTTTTTTGCTTGGATATTCAATTTTTAATGAGATAGAGCAGAAAATTGTCACTTATTCAAATTAAAAGGAAACCTTCTAAAAATTAACCTCAAACATTAAATTTCTGAAATAAAAAGAAATGGAAAAAGAGGACAGGAGTTTTTTTTATGCCCACGTACGTCAATCTTAGCCTGCTCTACTGACACCAAATGATATTTGTCGCTCTAGCCTCTCGTGTTTTAATATTTTGAAAAGCGTATTCAATAATAACCATTCCTGGCTTTCAGCTGTTCAAAATAATCAACTTCAAGACAATACTAAAATAACTTAAGGATGTGAGCACGAAATTAACAATTGATCCAGAAAAGCCCTTTGTTAATGACTATTCAGAGAGCTGATGTGTACAAATAACTTAACCAGGATAAAAGCCACGACACTTAGGCACTCTTCATCAAAATAAATAATCCCATAGGATTTGGAATAACGATAAGGACGCCATAACAACTACAATAAACAAAGACGCTTTTATGCTAATAATTGGAAACGAACGATAACTGATTCAAACAGAAAATAGTTTGGAAAACAGTTCGGCCGCTGAGACCACCAAAAAGTGCGCCTAGCTCGAGACTTTCAAAATGACAACACTTGAAGTCATTCCAGAAGGTAACACCACTTCTTTTTTCTGTCAGCCTGATGACCATTTATTGACAACACTATTCATAACACACTCGTTAATGTTCATAACTGTAGAGGGCCATATTAGACAGGGAAATACCTCGATTCTCAGCTCTGACTCTTTTAGCTTTCGTTCTTTTTTAGATCCAATGAATAGATACGGTTTTTTTGGCAATTATCACGATATTTGATTCTCTTAGAAATCATTTATGACTCTGGTTTTTACAGAAGCCCGCCCAGTTTATTCGACTTCTCGTCATTAACGGATAAACACTAACAAACAAAACTTTCACAGAGTAGTGAAATACAAAAACGCCCAAATATTCGTTTGGAGTGGAACCCCGGATCCCCATCCAACAGTCGGCCGGCGACGAAGTTGACCAAAATCTCTAGAAAGTCCAAAGTTATTCCATTTATTTTCAACGATGAATTCAGTGGTTATTAATAATCGCTTTGTCCACGAATCCGATGCATGCAGCTTTGATGATAGAATTTTAGATGTAAATCCTTCGGCTAAGATGAATGGAATACTCCAACTGTGGTGGATTTTTCTTTAAGTCCTCTATAGCCTCTGAGTTTTGATCCGTTTTTCCTTTCTCTTGATTACTTTGATTCAGAACAGAAACGACGGTAGCTTTTGGGATATTCGGTTGAACAAATATAACTAATTTTTGAATCAGAGTAGTAGCTAGGACTTTCAATTTATCACTCAAATCAGAAGTCATTATACGAGATGAAATCAGTTTTTAATCCTGTTCCTTTTTAGATATTAAAACACCACTAACTAGTTGCTAATGACAGACAGGTGCTAAATTTACTTCGATCTGGGGATAACAAATTGATTGAAACAAAAGCATTACTAGATTACGTTTCAATCCAAGGCTCCGATATTGACTCTTTCTCAAAATCGATACAGTGATAATAACTTCCATTACCAGTTATACAACATTTGGAATCAGACATGGTACATAAGGAAAGTTAAAGTACAATTAGTCAGTCTTATCTGATTCATTCTCCACTATCACAAAGAAACTCGTGGCGAGAAGTAGAATTTGTAGTTTTCTTTGAAATATCTCTGTTTTATACATCATTCATTGTACTGAATGTTTAGCTAATTCCTTTTAAATCGAATTTGAAGATATATTAAAGAATAGACAAGGGAAATAGGATGAAAATTGTGCAAGATGTAACATAATGAGATAAAAGCTATTCGAAAGCAAACAAGGATGGGAATGACTACAAGTAAACAGTTAGCCTTTATTAAACCCTTTATTAAACGTATTTAAGTTCTTACATGAATATAAATAATAAATAAACAATGGACTTATATAGCGCCATATCCGACTGCTCTATGGCGCTTTACAATACTGAGTTAAAAAGATAATGACTACAATTGATTAAAGACAAAATAATTAAGACAATCTCAAAATATTTGAAAAGAAAGCTTTTTTAAAAAGGTAAGTCTTCAGACATTTCTTAAAAGCAGCCAAAGAAAAACCAGGCTGTCTCATATGAATGGGCAGAGCATTCCACAACCGTGGGGCAGCCACCGCGAAAGCTCTGTCACCATAAGACTTTTGAATAGAACTTGGGACAACCAGAAGAGACTGTTTGGATGACCTGAGTCTACGACTGGGGATATTCGGTGTCAGCAAATCACTAAGATAAGAAGGGGCTAAATTATTCAGAGATTTAAAAACCAACAACAAGATCTTAAAAACAATGCGATGCTCTACTGGTAACCAGTGGAGCTCCGAAAGTAATGGTGAAGTATGACCAAATTTAGGACAACGCTTAACAAGACGAGCGGCACAGTTCTGTACAGACTGTAGCCTCTGAGTCTGGTATTTTGGTATTCCCATTGTCTTTTGGTATTCCCATTGTCTTTGGTATTCCCATTGGTATTCCCATTGTCTTTTGGTATTCTCATTGTCTGGTATTTTGGCATTCCCATTGTCTAACCTGCAAGTTACAAAAGCATGTATAAGCGCTATTGTAGACTCCTCTGACAGATAGCTCCTAATTTTGGCTATCCTCCTTAGATGATAAAAAGCCGATTTACATATAGCCCCAATATATACATATACACATACACGCATACCGTACTTGGCAAGGAAGTTTAGGAGAACAGCAGAAATATTGATATAGACTTGCTATAACTACAGGGAAAAAAAAGTAGTTGAAAAAGTGAAAAACTGAATACTAGAAGAATACAAAAAGTGAAAACATTAAAGAGCCGCAGCCAGGATGAAACATAGTTGAAATTTAAAAACGATCTCTGGCTAAAATGATTAAAAAATACGAGCTTTCGACTGCCCGAACTGCAAGTCTTCAACGGGTAAAATGAATGATAAGAAAGCGATGAGAAAATTTAAATAAAGACATGAACTGCGAAATAATGAGAATGTAAATGATTATGAATATTTGTTAAAAAGAATGTTGTATTTACATTCTCATTATTTCGCAGTTCATGTCTTTTTCTAAATTTTCTCATCGCTTTCTTATTACTCATTTTACCCGTTGAAGACTGCAGTTCGGGCAGTGGAAAGCTCGTAGTTTTTAATCATAGTAGCCAGAGATCGTTTTTAAATTTCAACAAAGTAAAAAGTATTTAAAATTGTCATACTAATGATAAATCGAGAATTAGCTAGTTGAAATAAAAGGTATCGCAAATATGATAGATATGTCACTGGAAAGAAGCAAAATTTGACCCACAGACTTGGAATTCTTCTCAAGGTATACTTTTTTGATCCAGACAGAAAATGTAATTACTGAACAGATGAACGGTAACAAAGCATCTATTTGTTGAGTTTCCTGTAAACATTTTTGTAGATGTTTAGAATGTTTGTATTGAAACATCATATTCAAGGAACAAACATAAATTATTTGAGGGGTGTAGTGAAAGATCGTAAAAAAATTGGAAAAATCGAAAAAAAGCGTGAACTGTTAAAGAGAAAAACTTGTCAACAGAAAGAAACATCTGGAAAATTGTTAATGCAAATTAGCTTTGTCTCCATATTCTTTTCCCTAAAAAAATAAGGATAATGTTACAAAGAAAAAGAAAGTAAAGATGAAATTGCATTACAAAGATAAATTCGATAAGAGCCCAAGATATGATAGGCAAGATGTTAAACTCATAAGTTCGCGATCTCAACGAGTGTTCTCACGTAGCGCTGTTATTTGATGCCACCGCGCCATGCGTTGCCAGGTTACAAACTCGCGTGTGGTGGATCACACAAAAGGACAGTTGATGAATACCCAGATGGCACCAAAGGCTAATTAATTAATCCTTATAGAAAGCTACAGTATTAATTTCCCGTTATTTTTACCATAGAAATCTTCTCTAAACCAAGGATGCGTCAACCAGGACGAGGATCAAGTTTATATCAGCTCAGTATTAGCAGAGCACCTGAACTTCGCTGCATAAACAGTCCTGTAAAATCGTGTGGAGTTTGCGAGGACTGTTGTTTAGGCGCAAAACTGAATCACACCAAAGAATGGTTTTGTCGTTGTGGTGAACCCGTCAAAAGGAAATACCTTCTGAGTCTTGCCCAACGATTTGATTCTCTAGATTTGTTCGAGTATATCACCTCTTTGTTGCAATCGTTTCAGTACAAAGACTTCACTTATATGCGATCAAGAAGTAAACCGAGTTTGATAATCGATGGTTCAAGCGCGCCGACGAATCACGCTTTAAACGAAGACGAATTATCACAGACAGTAGAGGATTACATGGAGTGGTTTTCAAGGAGTACCTACTGGACTAAAGCAAATTATATGTTGGGTTTAATGCAGTTGTGTGATACCCATCTTCTACATATTTTAGCTACTAAGACTAGAGCTTTGTGCGAACGGGAACGGAGAAAACAGAGGGCTTTTGAGGATGGAATAATTGGTAGAGGTATGTGTATCTTTTTTGTAGATAACTGACAACACAAAGATGGTATATCACCTGAATAGAAGATCTTTAAATGTTTTTCGAGGAATTTTTTGAGTCTGAAATTGATTAATGTTGCATGACATGACATTGCTATGACGTCATCTAATACGTTAGCTTTATGAGAATTTTGAACTGATTTCTTTGTATAGCGTAAAACATTTTTCCTCAAATTAATCCTAACACTGTTGGTTTTTTTTTTCTCTCTGTAGTTAACTAAACCTTTCAATCATAAACGACAGTCAGTTTTGTGGGATGATATCACAGTGCTAAAGCTCACCTCAAAATACTTTTTTCCATTACAATGAGTTTTAACTAAAATATGGTGATTATGGGTGTGATAGGTGTATCACATTATGTTAAGAATCTGTGGCATTAAGCTGAGGGAAGGTTTTTTTTTGTCATACTGCTGTTCACTGCACAGAATTATTTGTCCACTACGTAAAAAGCAAATTATCTCCCATTGCAGATTGCCAGAATCAGGGCTCAAGACTAACAGTAGCCACCTATAGCTAGCCACAGACTAATAGAAATTCAGCCTGTTTGGCTGGTAAACAAACTGAAATTGTCGCTAGCCACTTAGGTAGTAAGTTGAAAAGTTGGTGTCGAGCCCTGAAAATACTGACCTGGTTCTTTAATTCTCTCTGTATAAAGAATTCCCCATCAAGTAATCAGTTTTTTATTTCCCTGTTGTCTCGTGCTCTTAATAAATGTTGACCATCTTTCTTTAATTGATTTATATTTAAATACTCATTAGTTTTATATAAGTGAAAGAGCACAAAAACCAAACTCTGTCTGATGTATTAACAAAGTTCTGCACATAAGGATGTTCCTTAGATATGTATCTTAAAAACACTTTTGTTTGCTTTCTTTGTAGATGATGATGAATACATGTCCTTGCACAGTTATTTGTCTGACAGTAGTGCTTCACTTGAGAGAGAAACTAAAAGTAACAAATTCCTGGTCACAAAATCTTTAGCTAGTCATTCAGACATAAATGATGCTCCTTCTATAGAAATGAACTCAATAGTGAGTGAAGAAATTGAATTTAGCAAAAGGAAATCCTCAAGAGAATCAAGTGCAGCAAAATCTCAATCTTACAAAGGAACGAACTCTGAAGCCATAACATTGGATACCGGATCTCAAGCCTCCACAGGATATGGAGGAAGTCCCATGTCTCGTTGTCAATCAAGATCCATTCCACCTTCTAGACAGTCTTCACGAAGGCCTGCAAATGACATGACAGATTTTGAAAGAGAATTTTTTTCTGAAGATTACATGTCAGGTGATGAAGGGGATTTCATCAACTCTTTGACACAGAAGGAATCTTTGGAATCTGATTGTATAGGCTTTGAAAAGTACAAAGACTTTTTAAGATGTTTACCAGTTCATTTGTCCAAGAGAATTCTAGGTATGTTAGACAAGAACAGTTTAACAAACTGTTTATGTCTGAGCAAACATTGGAGGGGTCTTACTGAAGAAGTCAAACAAGACTACATGGTTCATCAATTAATGACTGAAGAGATCATGTTAATGCAGGTAAACTAACAACACAGTTCTTCTTTTAGTACCCTTTGGTGGATCTAGCAGGATTTTAGGGGTTCAGTAAAGCTGACATAAAAAAAAATGAAAAGAATAATATCAAAGTTTGAAACTCTTTATTAAAAATCCTGGATCTACCCTTTAATTTTTCTGTGCTTAACACCTTAACTCCAAAGATCTGTTTGTTAATTCTCCCCTCTAGCTGCTACACATTTCCTTGACAAATTAGTCACAAGAATTTGGCATTCAATCAAGATAAAAACTTCTACCCGATAAGTTTGAGTAATTTCACAGCACCTGTATGGATATTATAGGGAGAAATTAATCACTTCTACAAATAGTAAATCTGAATGTTTACTTTTTAATTGTGTTATCCTCATGAATGTGTCAAATATTTCAAAGACTCTGTTTGTATAGGTAATGACATGATTTCGAGTGCAATTTGGAATAAATAAGCATGAGTAAATTTTTTCAAAGACTAACAAAATTGCATGTGTCCGTAGGGCAAGTGCAATTTGTGGTCTTTGAAAAACTTTACAAGTGCTTATTTATTCCAAATTGCACGAGAAAATCATGTGATTATCTATTAATAATATACATGAAAAAAAACAAGGTAGCTTCTCATAACTACACGGAAGAAAAGCGCGCGCATCACATGCAAAAATAATTTATTCAAACCCTGCAAGTGACTTTGACATTGACCAATCATTCTGACCAATCAGAATGTCTGGTTTGTTTCTTTCTTTGCACTGAATTAACCCTCTTCTGCACTGAATTAACTCTCTTCTGCACTGAATCAGCTGAGAACTGCATTAATCTTAACCAATCAGAACTCAGACATTTTTTTATGTATATTATTAGGTCATAAATAAGTTAATTAAAGAATTGATCGATGATGAATAAATAAAAATACATTATTTCTTTGTAGGGAGCATCAGCAAAGGGTATGAACCCAAGATATGCTAAGTGTGTTCCTGTTCATGTACCTCTAGAACTCACAGAAAACACCAAAGAAGTGCTTAATCTTAGTTACAAATCACACAAAGTTAAAAAGGTCAGACATCACAACCTACAAGAATGTTATGAAGGAGTTCCAACCAAAGAAGTTAGGATGGAAGAGAGAAACATTTACTGTGGAGCATATAATGTGCTAGTGCTCCAAGACATGTAAGCATGCATAGATGCATTTTTAAGGCCAATCTGACCACTAGAGGTTGGATAGAGGCAAGATTGGGGTAGGACACTGGAACGTGTTCACTTTTAACTATTAGGCTGTGCACCAACATTTTAAGTTAGTACCCCTGTGTATTTGCCATCAAACTGGGTATGGCCTCCAGGGTCTCTAGTCCTAAAAAATGTGCACAATTTTGCTATTTAGCCACTGAAACAGGGTGTTCCTCTAGACAGGAAGTCTCCAGTAAGGTTTGAATAATGCCAGTAAGCAGTTTACATGCATAGCATCAACTTTTTTTTCATATTTAATTCTAAATATAGGTAATGCTGGATAACATTAATATACAACTATCTTAACTGCTACAATTCTGTCTTGAACAGGGTGGCAAAAAAATTAGAAAGGATGTTGTATCATTCAATCCAAATTCTTTGAAGAATTCCATGGCTATGAAGTCCATTCTAACTTAATAATTTGCCATGCAGGGAGGACCCTAACCGATGTGCAAACTTCAATGGTGGGAGACTGGTTGTGTCTGGATCATATGACAGACGCGTTCGACTCATAGATGCAGCCACAGGCAAGATTGAGAGGACCATTCAAGGCCATGCAGGGTCCATACGCTGTGTTTATGTGTCTGAGGAGAGGGGAATTGTACTGAGTGGTGGTTATGATACATCAATAAGGTGAATAACTTGTGAAAACACAAAACAAGTGATAATTAACAATTATTCGCCGAGAGCAAGGTGAATATCGTCGAATAATCCCTGAGAGGAAGTCAAGGGGATTATTTGACAATAGTCACCAAACCTGAGGCGAACAATTGTTATAGTATAATTTCAGAGCTGAACAACAGAGAAATTTCTAAAATCATAACATTTTAGTAACATTTATTAACATTTTATTTTAACATTTTATATAAAGTGCGTGGAGTGGTTTCTGTAGCGTCATATAAGGAACTGCTTGACCAATCAGATTGCTGGAAACTCTTTGCTCAGCTCTGAAATTATACTAAAGGAGCATTTTCATTTCTGCCTTCTTGTTTTCTATGGAGTTCAGTTGTTAATCATGACTTTTGAAGCATATGGCAATACTTGACAGATTGAATGAATGAGTGACCCACTCAACAACAGACTGACTCAATGACTAACTGACTCACTGACTTTCTTACTGACTGACTCAATGACTTACTGACTGACTCACTGACTCACTGACTCAATGACTTACTCACTGACTCACTGACTGACTTACTGACTGACTCACTGACTCGATAACGTACTGACTTAGTGACTCACTGACTTACAGACCTACTGACTTACTTAATGACTTACTGACTTAATGACTCGCTGACTTACTGACTGGCTTACCGGCTGACTCACTGACTTACTGACTTAGTGACTCACTGACTTATTGACTGACTCAATGATTTACTGACTCAGTTACTCACTGACTGACTCACTGACTGGCTTACTGACTGACTCAATGACTTACTGACTTTGTGACTCACTGACTTACTAACTTACTGACTTACTCATTGACTCACTGACTCACTGACTCACTCATTGGCTGACTCAGTGACTCACTGACTCACTAACTTTGACTCGCTGACTTACTGATTGACTCACTGACTGGCTTACTGACTGACTCAATGACTTAGTGACTCGCTGACTTACTGACTGACTCGCTGACTTACTGACTGACTCACTGACTGACTCAATGACTGACTCACTGACTGACTGGCTTACTGACTGACTCACTGACTTAATGAGTTACTGACCTAGTGACTCAATGACTTACTGACTTACTGACTGACTCATTGACTGACTGACTCACTGACTGGCTTACTGACCGACTCAATGACGTACTGACCTAATGACTTGCTGAGTTGCTGACTTACTGACTGACTCGCTGACTCAATGACTTACTGACTTGGTGACTTGCTGACTTACTGACCTACTGACTGACTCACAGACTGACATACTCACTGACTCACTCATTGACTCAATGACAGACTCACTCACCCAGTCACTGACTGACTTACTCATTGACCCACTGACTCACACAGACTGACCAGCTCTCAAGCTGACTCTGATTAAACCTCCAAAAACTGGTGTGCCTTTTCCACTGACTCAATGATGGACTTACTGACTCACTGATATACTGACCAGTCCACTGGCTGACCTTGTTTAAACCTCCACAAACAGGTGACTGCTCACGTTACCCTCAAGAAAAGACATCTCATACTTCAACCTTTTCACAACCTCAGCCCCTTGACAAAAGCCACCTACCACTCTCTCCGAGGTTTCCACTGTGGATGTATTTAATCAATAATCAGGAATATCACTGATAGACCTGTGAAACATTTATTGAACAGGTGAAAACATTCAGTCAGTTAGATAGACAGACAAAAAGAAAAAATATATATATATATACCACAGACCAAATGAAACTCATGCTGAAAAAGAAAATTAACAGACTGACTTACAGGTGAGGTAGATTAGAAAACAACATACTTTGCATATCTATTTCTCCTCATAGATGCTGGGATATAAGTAGGGGGAACTGCAAGTGTATTTTCAGAGGGTAAGTCAAAGTTGTGGTATGTCAGTAAAGCACACCATTTTTTCCAACTAGTTGATTAAAAAAATAGTTTGAGATCTGAATGGGCTTACACCCAACTATCTAAGGTACTTTTCCAGTGCAATTATCATCTGAGCTATGAGGCCACGTGTAGGGAGGGAGGCAAAAGTAGGAGGGTATTTCTCTCATGTGTGATCACAATATCAGAGCAGTTTTTGATCGAGTATACAGCGCATTTTGATTGAGTGTTGTAAGGCCAAAACCACAGTAATCACAGCGGCCAATCAGAGGTCAGGAAAATATCACAAAGAGCCAATGAGAATTCAAAGTGAAAACAACCCAACTGCCAAAAGCGCGGGAAAACGCGGGCGATCAAATCGTGATTGGTTTTCGTTTAGAGGGTGGCGCAGGTTTTCAGGAACAATCACGTAAAGCGAAACAAAAGCAATGTTGGATGACTTTCGACACTTAATTGAGCATTGCTCTAAAATGTAATCTGGGATCACATTAGTTTTGCTACCCTGCTCTTTGTTATTGGTGTAGAAAGAGGCTCACCTTTTCAATCAATAAGATGCAGAACCAAAACCAATCGCAACTTGGTCACCTGCGTTTTCCCGCGTTTTGAGCAGTTTGTTCATTTTACTTTGGATCCTCATTGGTTCCTGGTGATCATGTGATATTTTCTTTCTTTCCGATTGGCCATCGTAATTACTTTGGTTTTACGACACTGAAATGAAGTGCTCCAGTCATGAAACAGATACATTTGATGACCTACATACATGATATATATTTTTTTTTTGCAGTCACCGAGCCACAGTTCTTTGTATTGCTCTCTATGGGAACCATCTAGCCTCAGGATCAAGAGACAAGAGCGTGAAAGGTCGATCACGAATTTTCTTTCATTTCTTTGTACTTCTGAATAGATAAATAAAGTTGTCTAGCCTGTAAGCGGGAGCTCATTAGTAGCGCTGGAGAACGTGCCCTTCTCCGCCCGCGGGAAGACTCGAGACGAGTCAGGGAGAGGTTTGCAGGGGGTCTGGAACTATCAGTGTTAAAACCCTTTCAAAGTTCTCGCCGGCTCCGTTGCTCAAGGCCATATACTTTCCCGCAGGCGAAGACTGAAACGTTCGTGCCTAAGCGCTTCTAAGGATGCTCTACTCGCAGACTAAATGATGTCTTTCTTGTTTGTCTCCTTTCCGACGAAGAGCTAACGCTCGAAACGTCAGCTTTTGTAATCGGTACGGTGGCCAATTTACCATTTCAACTTTGTTGATATATCCAAATCCTTTCAATAAAACCTCATCCTTTATGTATTTACAGTTTGGAACTTCGCTACTGGAAAGTGTCGGAGGACCTTTCGACATCGTCACGTGGTACAAACGGTTCATGTAAGTAAATTTCCAAGTGGTTTGCATTTCTTTAGTGCTGATCGGCTGTTGTGATTAGGAAAAATAAGGCAGAAAGGGCAAACTTTCTGAGGGTAAACTTGTCATGGAAAACTTGCTAAGTGTAATAAATTCGGCGCTGGTAAACTCGGGTCTGGTTTTGTGAAAGAGTCGGAGAGCTCTGTTTTCTACCAAGTGTACTGAAGAATTGTTAAGCGATTTTGATGGGTTACAAGCAACAGGCTTGAATTTTTTTCAGGTCTTATCGTCACTACTACTTAATTAGTGTTTATTACTGCGAGGATCGTTTTCATGTATAGAATTTTACGTTGTCTTTCTGCTCTAACAATCATGTTCACGATGGTGTCGTTACCTGAATTTCGTACTTTAAAGCTGATTTGCCTTTTCTGATTGCTTTATTTTTCGGTTTACCACAGTCAATCGAAATGCGCCTAATACATGCAGCAGCGTGCAGAAACCAGGACTTTATCAGAGAGATCAAGCTTTCCTTCAAAATCTTCATTCAGAGTTATTTTCATCGTTTGCAGGTATCCGACACTCTTGTTGTGAGCGGCTGTGAAGGAGGGAAAGTTAAAGTATGGGACATAGAGCAGACGACACTTCTAAAGGTAACCAGGTGGAATAACATATCAACTCTTTCGTTTCTCGTCTCGCACTTGTTTCGTTTGCGAAGTTTCTTTGCCGCGAATTTTTCAAGTTTTTTTTTTTTTTTTTTTTTTGCAAATTTCAGAGTTGTACTCCAAATTACCCCTGTTTATTTGTGGTTTATTACTGGTTTTTGTTTTATTTCTTTGTTTTCTAATGTGCTATAGTTTCCTCTGAACGGTTACACTGAAGGGAGTTTTTGCAGCACAAAAAGTGAACTCAAATTATCTGCGATTATAACTTTACAAAAGTTGGGAATATCGCGACCATAAAAGTTCTGATTTAGTTTGTTTTGGGAGAAGACAGCTTAATTGCTGGACTGCTTTGACTCTACGCAATCAGTCAACAATATAATGCTGTTGAACCAAAACAAACGAATCACTTTCTTGAGTCGCTCAATAGAAACTTACTCGCAAAAGTTTTTTTTTTGTTTAAGAACGCTTTTTTAATCTATGTTCGGATTTCGTCACCAGTCCCTCGACGGTCATCATGGAGCCATCACATGTGTGAAGTTCGACGACTATCACATCCTAACTGGCAGTTTAGATTGTTACGCCATGGCTTGGAGCGCTGTTGGAAAACACAAAAAATGTCTACAAGCATTCAGACACCCAAAGTACGTTTTAGTTTCTCTACGTAGTGAACTTACTTTGTCGTGCGATTTAAAATTAGTTATTCGCGGGTGAGAAAAAACATGATTCGATATAGTGCTACACCAACAGAAAACCAGGCGGTCTAACTAGTGGTTACCCGCGTGTGTTGCTTGCGTGAACGGCGCGTGTTACTTTTGAGTGAATACAATTCAAGTGATAAATTCGGGGTTCAATTCTCTTCTTGTCGTTTATTTTAAATATTTGGGGTGAAGGCCTCAACGGTGCCTTTCGAGATGGAAGGAAACATAATTTTTTTTTAGGTTCTTTGTTGATTGAGACCAACTGAAATGTCTCACTGCAGCGAAGCAATATGGTTACATTTCTTGCCCATGTTCGCAGTACAAACGAACTTTTAAAATCTGAGACTGCGTTCGTTCTGTTCTGTCTTTCCCTTAGCCTTGTAAAAACTTAGTATTGATATTGTGTTTCGCGTGGAGACATACACCCGCTGTATTTCTACCGTCGCCAGTAGGTCGAGATTCTACTCGCAACTGAGCGTAGTGAGCTGTGCCCACTTAAGAAATGGGAAAAATAATGTTAACATAACCAAAGTAAAGCACGCGCTCTGTGTCCACCATTTGCTCATAGGTGTACGCGTCCGAGGTGAGCGAAGGCAAAGACTAGGTTCCGCACGCTTGTTTTTTCTGGTCACGTAAGATTTCATCGTTAAATAAAAGGGAACTCTTTTGCGACAATGTATCAATGATTTGTTATAAAATAAATGGTAAACATCATAGCGCACACTGTTGAGTTATGGATGCATTTGGGAGGTTGGATAGGTACTCAAGAAGCTAGAATCGCGCGAGGCGATAGCCGAGAGTGACTCTAGCTTCTTGAGTGCCAAGCAACCTCTTGCGTGCATCCATAACTCAATGGTGTACGTTGTGGTGTCAACCATTTGTTTAATTATGTTTAGAATTGTAGCGTAACTTTACCATTCGCTATTTTCAGGGAAGTTTTATGTCTGGAGTTTCTCTTCTGTCGAGTTCTGACTGGCTCTGCTGACGGGAAGGTAAAGTTTTTAAATCGCAATTTTAGGTTGAAGAATTGTGTTGTTGCCTTTCATGCAATGGAATTTGCGAGGATGTATTCACTTAAAGCTTTTGTTTTTTCAGCTACGCATCTGGAATCTTTTGAACGGCGACTGTTTAAGAATTATACGCGGAAATAGTAAGAATGACGCTCTCACCACCATCAGAGCGTCAGGAGATAGGTAAGTTTAGGGCGTCAACCTTAACGCATATCATTTTTGTTTTTATGCTATTTTTAGCAGAGCGTAAGCGATGCGTGAATTACTTCGGGTGCCAAAATGTTTTTAGGGCGCGCCCGCAGTAAAGTGCCTTTTGATCAGCGGCTCCTGAAAATTATTAATTATTCCAACCCCCCTTCCCCCTCCCCCCCCCGGCTCACTGATTGATATCATGACTGCTATTTTAGTCTTTGTTGAATAACATGACATGACTTCGCAAAAACAAGGGACGTAAAATGTGCTTGACGCCTGCCATTTTTTTCATCCAAATTTTGGATACGAAAATAAGGCATTTTTCGAAGGCGACTTTTCACCACGGTTTGTAGGCTCCTGACCCCTACCTTAACACCATATCGACGTATATCCTGACAATCTTCCATAATTCTGAGTATTTTCTCTCGATTTATTATTCACTCTAGCATGATAGTCAACACGCTGAGCAACCTTTTGATTTTCAACTTCGAGGCGGTCGAGTGGGATTACAACTTAGACCCCGAGCGACCCGAAGGACTTGGTAATTTAAACAACTATGCCAAGACTCCGCCTCGCAGGTTGGCGCGTTCACATGTGCGCGCGCATAAACTTATGCGCGCTGACACCAAAGATAGTTTGGCTTCCCGGCCTCCCTCACGGTCAGCTTTAATGTCCGATCATGTCACGACCTTATATCCACCAAACAGTTCACCGCTGCGGATCTCAAGCGCCCCTCCACGAATAAAACACCAAGAGAGCACCATAAACAGCATGAACGCGCATGTGCGCAGAATTTTAAACGCCCACAAAGAACAAAAGCCTCGTCCCCAATCTTCGCCGGTCGTAACCTCTCAAAGAACACGAACGCGGGCAGAATATGACGTACCACCAACAGACATCGACGGTGATCTTAGATCTACCATGATTATCACCAAAGTCACGCGGTCGACTCCCAAACCCTCATCATTCCCAGACAGTAGACATTCTCAGGTCATTACGCGAAGTCGCTCAGCTCCTGCGTATCGTACTCAAGTTTTACCTCCCGGGAAACGCGGTTGGACCACGTCTGCCGCGGAGCCCCTCAAAGCGCCTGAGAATAAGATCATGGTGAGCGCGCAGCAGGCTCGGGAGAAGATCGCTAAGATGCGACCTCACAGTGCGCAAGTACATTCGACCAAAGAATCCATTTCGCTCAATCCAGTTAAGAGTCTGTCTTGCTTAAATTTAAAGACGTACAGCACTCAGTTGCAGTTTGAGCAGAACTTACAACAAGATTCATCGCGTGACAAGCTAAGACGCGTGACATTAGACGGAACTCACCGTCCAAAATCGTGCATTCCCTGTGTGAGGTAACGCAGTACACCTAGCTACGTGGCAAGGTCGAATGACGCACAACTTAATAGACCTGAATAGAATGGAAAAATATCTGACTTACATTACGTACCGGAATTACAAATTCAAAAATCGCCTTAAGTTTGTCATTTGGTTTAGATCAGAAGAACTTGAAATCATTTTGGAATAAAATTTTATTTTGATTTAGTTAATTAAGGGGGGAAAAGACTCTTGGAAGAAATGGGTACGTTACACGTCAAATTATCTCAATTTTAAGCCGTGGCCACGAAGTCGCGAGGGACTAGCGCTACCACGACAAAAAAAGACGATGGGAATAAAGAAGAGGAAGAGAGGAGAGACTTCTTAACTCTCGCGCGCGTGCCTAGCGCGCGCTCTCCTCGTTTACAAGTTTGTGAGTAGATGGACGACTAAAGACGAGTTAGACTAACTCCGAGTTGCACTTGACAATCCGGTGATTGGCTTTCAAGAAATATTGAAAAGAAGAATAATTTGTTTGCATCTTTCATCTTCCTTGACATCTGGCACCTTACACCTGCCTTCTTTTTTTTTGTTTTTCTCGCGTCCTGTTTACTTACTGAAGGGTTGAGACAGAGCAAAGAAATTTTTCTTTTTAGAGTGTATCCGCGTCCTTCTATAGAAACTCAAACTCCCTAAATTCAGATCTGTTGAATGATACATAACTATCCACAATTTTCACCGACACAAAAGTGATTAATTGTTTTCATGTAACCCACAGAAATCTAGAAAAACTCTTTATATCTACCAATGTACCAAAAATGGAAATTAAAACTCTTGACGCGCCGGTTTGTCTCTACGGCCGTTCAAGGGTAAATGGCACTCGCTTATCACTTCCGAACCAGCCAGTTTACTTACTTTTATTCTTTGGTTCGTCAAAGCAACAACAGTAAGCACGCATTTACCCTGAAGCAAAAAATTAAAACCAGCCATGCCAGATCCGTCGGGAACCATCGACGGACAATAATAACAATACTGTATTAATTTTTTCCTCTTTCACCCTGTACTTTCCCATGACTTACGCCTATCCCACGCTTTTCTTCATTTGCTGGAAGGAACTGGAAAAGAATGCCAGCAAGCTTATTAAATAGGCACAAAGAAATATTGCGGTTGTAGAGATCTTTGGACTCAGTGTGAGATCTTTAGACTCCAGTCATTTTCGTTTTTATGTCATTCAATCTTTGTGAGACCAATAAGCTGTATCACCGACTTCAATTTGGCCTCCCCAGGACTGCTCTCTTAGTAATCGATGTTTTCTTTCTCGTCTAATGACAATATCGGTTTTTATTCGAAAAAATGCCCATGACAAATTAATGCAGCACGTTTAATATCAGTTGGTAAGGGTCCGCTGATCACGAGAGCAGAGTTCAGAAAAGCGAACTACTATCAGCTGATATCATGAACAACTTGTCTTGTAAACTGTTGCAGAATTATCTCGGATCTGCTCACGACGTTAAAGATCTTCGTTCGACTTTTATTGCAAACTCTGTTTTCAACAATTGTTCGACCTATACTTCCATTATGCTGAACGTCGTTATAATCTTCGCCCTACGAAAGGCATCTTCGATACCAAAAACTTTGAAAACATTGTTGATAAGTCTCGCTGTCTCAGATGTTGGGGTTGGTTTGTTTGTTCACCCAGTTTACACTTTACTTCTGGTCAGCTTCCTACGAGGGTACAACATCAGCTGTCTCCCCTACACTATGTTCCTTGTCTTTGCTCGGTTATTTGTTTTAGCTTCGTTCGTGGGTGTAGTAGCTGTGAGCGTAGACAGGTTCTTAGCAGTTCATCTGCATCTCAGATACCAAGAACTTGTGACTCACAAACGTGTCGTTGTTCTGGTGATCTCAGTGTGGGTATCTAGTGCATTTGTTTCTGCACTAGCACTGTTAAATCTCCATGATATGCAGACATCTATTACAAACATCGTAGGAGGGACTGGCCTCGTTCTCTCAATAATGATTTATAGCAGTATCTTTTTAACTGCCAGACGTCACAAAAAAGAAATACGGTCTTCGCGAATACGCCACAGAACTCAATGTAAGGACATGGCAAATTTTGCAAGCTTGATGAAGTTAACAGTCGGTGTATTTTACATGTTTCTTTTATTATTAATTTGTTATGTACCCTATTTTATTTCCCTGGCGATAATTAAGACTAACGGTCCAAGTATCCTTCTTAAGGGAGTTCTCCAGTACTCAATGACTCTTCTATTTCTAAATTCATCTCTCAACCCTGTGATTTACTGTTTGAAGATAAGACACATTCGACGCGCCATTATGGACATACTGCGGAGTACGGCCAGGAACTGGAATCTACTCTCGCGCGATCGCTGAAATGCAAACCCTAACCCAAAGCAATGTTACCACTGTCCTATTCACACTGGCAAAAGATGTTTAGTTAAACCAGTTTCAACTGAATGAAAATCAGCAACAGATAACTAAACAAATAAATCTTACACGGGGTTCAAGCTTTCAATCGGCATGCATTAATTGCGTTTTTATCGTGCGCTACTGAATTCGAAGTCAACAAACGTCAGTTTAAGCTATTCAACTGCTGTGAAGAAAATAAAATTTATTCATGTTTAACAAACAGCATCAGAATGTGTTTTAGCTTTGGTGTAAGTAGGGTACAAGATTTTTAAAAGCCTCAGCTTAAATCATATTTGGGCAACTGAGGCTATGTAGCTGTCTGTAAGAAGAGCTTGTAAGCGGACATGTGACGAAAATACATGTACTATGAATAATTTGTAGAAACCCAAGAGAGTAAGCGCCATCGTTTTTCGGAATTTAGGAGGAAATTCGGCATAACAAGCTTTTAAAATTCCTTCTTTTTGTTTAGATATCTGTTCATCTGTTGTTGGGATATTCTTTATCCTGTGAAGCCATAACAATAACAGCTTGGTATTTTGAACAAAATAAAAGTATTAGGAAACCATTTACTCAAGACAGTCTAAATACTCATAATTAAAGGTGCTGCTTTTCTAATTGTCAACTTTCGAATTGCGACTGATGCCTGAGCTTATTGCCATTAAGCGAGAAAGAAAATATAAATTATTAATAGAGCAGTCCTGCTGAGGCCAAAATGAAGTTATACAGCTTATTGTTTTGACAATAAAGTGAATGATGAAAAGACGAAAATGATCGGATGAGTGCCGATAAACCATAYTGAGTCTAAAGATCTCTACAACTGTAGCATTTCTGTGCGCCTATTTAAGCTTGCGTGCTATTCTCCATTTCTTTCAGCAGATGGAGCGAAGTGGCGGTTAGGTGGAAGTCACGTGAATGCACACGATGAAAGAGAAAAATTAAACACATCATTGTTATCATTGTCCCTTGATGGTTCCCAAATGATCCAATACGGTTATTTTTAAATTTTAGCATCTGGGTAAATGCATGCTTTTTTAGCTTTAGCTTTGACACTGAAATAAATTATACTGTTAAATTCTATTCACGGGCAGCTGGCAAAGTTTTCGGGCATTTTTCATTCGTGACCTCGAGCAGTCTAGCCGAGTCTTGAAAATTCAATGTCTCGAAATTTTCTGCGATGATAACATAGGATGTTAGCCACAATCGAAATTTAAACTTGAGATGTTTAAATTTCACGCCCTTAAATTCTCCTAACAATGATAGAAAACTCTAGAAGTCTCCACATGTCTTAACCCAGTTGCTATGGAAACCCACACTAATCGTTTTGAGGCTTGAGGCTTGCCAAACGTAATCTTTGATACCTCTTTTTAGCCTATTTCTAGCTACTAAACTTTATATAGGGTAAAAAATGTACTTGCTACCTTAAGTTGTTTGTTTGATATTTGCTGTGGTTGTTCCTCTGCAAGATACGGTGGGCATTAAAATAACTTTTTTACTTGTTTTAGTTTAATTTGCTTTTAATTTTTGACCTTGAGCTCAAAATGACCCGGCAAAAAACTGGAATTGGGTTGAAAGTCGCTGGAAATTATCAGTTGCCTTGGGCGCAGAACTATTTTTAATATAATTTAGTGGGCTGCTTGTGGAAAATTAGTCATCCAAGTTTCAATGGATTCTGTATGATATCGACCGAGAAATATCTAAACAACCTTCAGGTAAAACTGGGTTTACCAATTTACGTCATCTGCCTCATAATCTGCATATTTATTTGGATTAAAAACTTGAACCTAAATATCAACAGAATTAATGCTGATATTTGAAATTGGAAAACGTCATTTGAGATCTTCTATGAATTTTCACAATGTACCTTTGGTTTGCATCCCTTAAAATTTTCTTTCCATCTTGCATTGAAAACTTTTAAAATTTGAGGGCATTCAGCATTTTTTTTTAATCTACAGCATGTTTTTTTTATTATTATTATTACTTTGCCGTCCCCATAATTTGTAATTCGTTGTGAGTTTAAAGCTGATTGCATTGCTTACTTTGTACCAGTTATTCTGAAAACACTTACTGTTTTTAATCGATCTGTTTGTTACCCCTACTCAATGGAAACTCTAACTCTCTTGATAAGATTTGGAAGCCGTAAAACATTTTCCTACTGAGCCTTAAGGCCTGGCGGCCAAACGCACGCAACATTTCAACGCAACATCTTGCAGCATCATTGTCGCGCGCAACGTGTTGTACACGTTTCACTCCCCGTAGTAACATGTTGCAAGATGTTGGGTGGTGTTGGATCAAGTTTGAAAATGGTCAAATTTTTGTTGCAAATTTTTCGGATGTGGCAAGATGTTGCGCGTGCGCTTTTTGTCGGCTCCTTTACAACATCTCACAAAACGATCCAATAATGTTGCAAGATGTTGCGTAGTAATGTTGTGCGCGTTTGGTCGGGCCCTTATGGGGATATCAGGTAAACTATATCGTGACACAACCAAAATCCTTTCCCCGCTGGGCAATAAAGAATCCCCGTTACCTGAGAGCAAGATTAGCCCATTTGGTTTTCATCTTTCTTTTCGAGTAAGATAACAGCGAAGTGATATTCATCCAGAATTGATGCCTGTGCAAGGTGTATACGAGTGGATTGAGGCAGGAATTCAACAGCGAACTCGCTTTCGCCGCCATAGACATTGTGACACGTTGGTCAGGAACTAACGGGGTAAGCACACAGAGCATTGCAGGAGGCGTCCAGCAAAGGACGAAGATAACAAGCACCGTGATGAACATCCTGTCGAATAATATCATGGCCCCAAGAAAGAAGGCATATACCGCAGAGCCCGTCGACGTGGTCATCTTTCGATATGAAAATGAAATTTTATCCGTGGAGCAAACGTTTTCTGTATAAAAATGTTAGATAAGTAATCTCACCAGAACGATCATATAACTCTTTTTTAAAATTCTTTTTAACTGCCGTATTCACTCAAAGACACTATGCACTATCTTGCAAAAATATCAATGTGTGCTGTTCTCGAATAGGCCCTTAATGTAACAGTATCCAAAGTGTGGCCTTAATTCGGAATTTTGTAGTGAGCTCCAGATAGAGTAATGGGTCTCTGTTTTCAATTAATGCTGAGATAGACCCTGGGATATTTTATAGAGGGCACTATGAATTTTATTATACACCGTAACGAGAACTCGAAGTTAGAAGTTCTGAAGAGCTCTTTAGAGTAAATACAGGAAGCAGATTGTAAAATACGATAAAATTTGTTGAGATTCGTTAAAAATTTGTTTATGTTAACCGACAAGTACACGATGTGCTATCAAGGATTTGCAACAAGGTATCTTAAACCCTATTTTTTACGAAGAACCACAAAATTCTCAACTGTGTTCAGAGACACATCTCAAAGCTCGGAGTTCAAATCAGTTTCTGCTAGCCGGACCAGGTCGAAAAATGAAAAAGGGTAGTAAATGATGTAAACCAAACTCGTAGTCGGTGAACTCAGGCTCCTCAAGATATTCTTTCAGTACAACTTCAAAACAATTCAAACTGTTTTTTTGTGTACTGCACCTTTTCCTACACTAAAAGTAATGGTGTACTAAACCTCTGTGATTGTGAAAACTTGCCCGTTAATCCTTTCGAGAAGCTTTTACAAAGCCGCAATGTTTTCCCTACAAAGCAATCTATCTTGTTTGAATCGGTGCCCCGACCCCAAGAAACTGAGAGCAACAGATCGCAAACATCTTAGAATTGCACAAAAATTTGAGCATTTATAGATCATCCCAGATCTACTGTCTCGCTGAAGATAGATTCTTTGTAAGTTTAAGGTTGGCACTTAAATAAGATAAAAAACTTATAGAAGGTTTGCAATCTCGGATGTAGTAGACTTCATTGACCCATGATTACTTTCTATTTGGCCTTATTTCAACAACAACAACAACAACAACAACAGCAATAAAAATATTTACGTGATATTATGATGTTGTTGTATATCTTCCTTAACCGGATTGAAAAGTCACCCACTGTCACTTTCAACTTGACGGTCTTTTACAAAGGAAAATATCGCTTTTGCTATCTTGAGAGATTAATGCAAAGAAAACGACCATTTCCCTACACAAGCTGTAAAACACCTTGACCATGCTGTTGCCAGTTCAAAAAAAAAGTTTCTTTATTCCACGCGAAAAGTTTGAAATCGTAAACGTCGGATTAAGAAAAAGTACCACTCGAGATGAGTAGCTGGACGCAGCGAGGAGAATGTCTACTGCGTTAGGTTAAGTTCATCAGTTCTGTTCCCATTTAGCTATAGGGTGATCGCAACCTACAATTGGTGACCCCTTAGTACAGGTTCCATAGCTGTGATAGGGGTATTGTAAGCGGTAGAAAACGCCATTTTGTGTCAAAATTAACCCCTTTTGTATTGTAAAGAACGGTAGAAAACGCAATTTTATGTCAAAATTGACCCCTTCACGAACAAAAACACGCTGATAAATACTACTAGCATTCAGATTTCGGGAGACAAACATGGATTGAATACACTTGAAAACTTGCTCTTAGTTTTACTTGGGTGTTCAACACAAGTGGAAGACAATAGAAACAGGCCGTTGGAACTCAATAAAAGGTTGACCATGACCGCTTAATAGAGAGGAAAATTTCGCTGTTTAAGGGGAAATAATCTCGGGCCTTTGACTACGGACCACTCACCTGACAGGTTCCATTGTAAATACACAAGTAGATCATGGTTTTCTACTCGACTGGAGTATCACTCTCTGTGGAGTGTAGTGAAACCACGACCAAAGTAATTACAACGTCCAATTGAAATAAAGGAAATCTCGCAGGGTTCATCATGTTGACGATCTATTCTGATAGCTACATATCATAACCTTGAGTAACCAGTCCACGAACAAAGTTCCTGATTAACATGCGTTTGTTGGTTTCAGATCTGTATTTCATCATAAACCAACATATCTAATGAAAGAATGACAACGATTAAGCTCTCTTTGGAAAGACTTGTTCTAATCATTCACCAAACTGTTGGTGTCATATGAGTAAAGACCACCAACATCGAGAGGTCGTTGTCACTTTCAGAAACAATAAATTCATTCGCAAAATTTGCGTCAGATAAACTAATGAGTTTATAATATTTAATAGATTACTACACAAAATATCACAAATACAAGCTCACAATAAAACATAGAAAACACAATATTATCCATAAATATTAACAAAACAGTATTCTGACAAAACACAATCTTAGTTTAAACAACACTTTCACAAACGATCAAACACGACAATAACGCCATATTGGATCATCACAAGGCGTGAGACTGGTAATCAGTAAAATACACTGGTATCCAGTCTTCGTGAATACTTCATTGAAATGCCAAGTTGATTTCTACTTCTCGCCTCTTCTCGCCATCTTGCTCTATTAACTATGTTCTCGCGGAGCAGATATTTCCATCTTTCGTTATGCAAGTGGAGCGAGTTTTTTCATTTCAAGACGAATTAAAAAGCGATAAAATAGAAGTTCGGATACCTGAGGTAAAGATCAGTTTAGGGGATCCTGGTGTTTAATTTCTTCAAATAGTTAAACGGAATTGCATTTGAGTCCAGGGCTAGACCAAACAGTTTTAGTAATAATAATATACATGAAAAACTTTCTCAGTTCTGATTGGTTCAGATGAATGCAGTTTTTAGTTAATTCAGTGCAGAAGAGAGTTAATTCAGTGCAGAAGAGAGTTAATTCAGTGCAAAGAAAGAAACAAACCAGACATTCTGATTGGTCAGAATGATTGGTCAATATCAATGTCAAGGTCAATGTCAAGATCAGTGTCACTTGCAGGATTTGAATAAATTATTTTTGCACCTGATGCGCATGCTTTTCTTCTGCATAGTTATGAGAAGCTACCTTGTATTTTTTCATGTAATATCATTAATAGATAATCACATGATTTTCTTGTGCAATTTGGAATAAATGAGCACTTGTAAATTTCTTCAAAGACCACAAATTGCACTCGCCCTATGGGCTCGTGCAATTTTGTTAGTCTTTGAAAAAATTTACTCCTGCTTATTTATTCCAAATTGCACTCAAAATCATGTGATTACCTATACTAATTAAAATCCTATCGCCTATTGATGATGTTTTATTAAAGAAATTATGTTTGCTTTTACAACATACCAATCAATGTTTGCCTCATTTAAATGAAAAATTATCTTCATCAACACATTTAGATCGTGAACCCTCAATATGGAATGTTTACATGGCCAGCAGCTCCTGTTCTCGCACAATTTATTTGGTACAACAGAGATCAAATAAAAGGAAAGCAAGTTGTGGAGGTACATTTCATATACTTTCTTTGCTAAAAAAATCCTTTAACCACATGTAACCCAAACTCGCACAATGAGCCAATATGATTACTTTGTGCAATGGGCAAAATATAAGGATTTATATCGGAAAAATGGTCACTCTCAGCCTAAAAAAACTGAACTAGTTTTGAAGAAAAGTAAATTTACCTGAGTTAAGGGGTCATTCCTTTACATTGTGTGAATCTTCTGGGCTGATTTAGGGCTGTTTAGCTCAGTTTTAGTTCATCTGCTTTTCCATTAATATTAATAATCCTTTTCTAGATAATTACATGGGAAGAAACTCAAATAATGAAAACCAAGTAAGAGTACTATCCCTATCTGATGAAATAAGCTCTAACAAAACCCCAAAAGTTTACCCTGAATTGGTCCTGCGAAATCACAGCTTGCGGAATAGGAAGGATTTTTGTGGAGCATTTTTCGGGCAAGCAGAGCCAGATGCTGCTTGCAGTGTGTGGCTTATCTTTTGAGTTACAATTATGTTCTCTTGAAAAATATGCCTGCTCTATATGGGCTGGAGAAATCTACACCTATTGTGATGATCTTTTCTTTACTTGAACGATAGATTGGTGCAGGAACAGCCCTGCCTGGTTTGGTTGCCTCACTGTGTGGTGCAACTGTTATTCTTACAGACAAGGAAGAGTATCCTCAATGCTTAGACAACTGCAGAAAAAGTTGCCTTGCGAATGGTCAGGATGCCATACAAGTTGTTAGCATTACTTGGGGACAGTTTACACCAAACCTCTTAAACCTTCCCAAGGCTGACATAATTCTTGGTTCTGACTGTTTCTACGACACAAAAGGTAACTTGACACCATTAGAGTGATCAGCATCAAATTTCTCTTTACAGTAACACCAATGACTCAAACATTTAAGTCATGAGAATAAAGAACAAACTGTTAATTGTATATGATAGTAAAGCATATTCTTCTCGTCAGTATGGTTGGAAATATGTAGAGAATATGCATCACATACAATTATGTGGAGAATGTGCATCAGAATTTGTATATTAGGTAATCGCATGGGGCTGAGTAAAATTAAGGATTAATATCACGCTTGTTGCAGAAGTTGCTGAAATTGTCCAAGTCACGCAGCAACGACAGCAATTTCAGCAACTTCTGAAAACACAAGTGATATTAATCCTTAATTTTACGAGTACCCATTGCGATTACTTGTTAATGAAATAGATGGAAAACATACCGAATTTCTGAATATACTCTTGAGTAATCAGTCACAGTGCAATGTCAGTCAGAGTCACAGTGTAATGTTGATACAGAATCAATCACCACAAATGCTTGAATGAGCTGAATGAAATTTTATTTTTAACACAAACATACCAGGGCATTGAAAACCAGGCCTGCTAACAAACTTTCAACTTTTAAAATATAAAGTTAGTGAGGACCAATCCTGAGCGAGTAATTTTGCCCTCTTCACAAGCAAAATTAAGAAAAAAAAGTACCTTCTTTATTGACCAATCAGCATTCAGTAACTTTGGCCTCTTTGTTATTAGGAATGTAAACGGTTAATTTACAGTACACTAAATAAAATCTACCCAACTTCTGTTATCTTAAGCAAGCTTATCCAAGCTAGAACACTCATGGTAATAACAAGGTTGATTTCATTTCCCTCAGCCCTCAAGAGCGATAAGCATCTAATTAATCCCTAAAATATGATCTCTGAAATATTTATATCTTATTAGACGTTTTGTTGTGTAGTATCACCGAGTATTTTTACAAGTTGTGCCATAGGGCTCGTCAAAATACGGCACAACTCATAAAAATACTCAGCGATACTACACAACAAAACATCTAATAACTTATTTATTATCCAACATGCCAAATTGTTATTTCGGTATAGGCAAATTTCGTGGATGTTTATTTATGGGAAGTGCATGACAAAAGTAGGTGAAGCAGAATGGAATTGGCGGGTTGTCATTTTGCTGTTTCTATTGTCTTCAATAAATGAAGACATTTCCTGGTTGTCTTACTGTTTTTCTTTGTTCGATTCATCTAACAAACTTTGATCTATATTTGCCATCCATTCTGACTCTTCGTCATTGGAAATATAATTCAAATTGTCCGCCAATTGTTTTCTTCATAACTTCAATCCAATTCTTCGCTTGCGCGATGAGAGAAAACCTGTTTAACCAGTTCTCTGGAGTACGAATACTACGTGATATTTGTTCTCATCTATGGCGTTATTTGTACTTTACGGAGTGTAGTTGGATAATAAAATCCCTGATTGACAAATTAAGGTCACAAGATTAAAGGAAATGATCAACTGAGGAAGCTCTTGATTGTTAAACACTTTCTCCCTGTTAGCACCTAAGGAAATGTGTAGAGCACAGTATGGAGAATATGCATACTGATGTTAGGGTGTAAAGGGTTGATGGCAGAAAAAACAGTGACAATTTGCAACAAAAGCAGTTTTGGGAAAGCATTGCACACAGTCAAAACTTGTCACAACATACTGCCTGTCTGTAGATTGTTAATTTAAACCTGAATCTTCAGCTATTTGAATTTGATTTAACAAAATTACATATTATAACCCTGGCAATAACTGTGTTGCTCTTTAACTATTTTGTGAAATTTTGAATTTTTCTGTAATTTTATGATACAGATTTTGATGACATTTTGGCAACTGTCTCTTTTCTGATGGAGAAAAATTTTCAGGCCAAGTTTTGGTCAACATACCAAGAAAGAAGGTGAAATCATTCATATTCCATTAATAACATGCCTTGATAGAAATGTCTGGATAAATAAATCAAAACCAAATTAGTAACTATCGGTAGTTTATGGTATACTTATGGTATACCAGAATTATTTATGGCTTGGTGTTGTTTTCCGGACAAAAAAAGAGAAGATAATAAGAAAAAAGAAAACTAAACTGCATACAGGAAAAGTAAAGTTTGTTTGTGTATCCTAAACTTTATTGTGGTTAATCAGTTCACAATAATTATTGTCCTGCCAGTTTAAAATCTTAGGGCCTGTTATTTACTTGAGGTCTAACTCAAATCGTGGTTTTATGCAAATAGTGGACCTAATGTATTCTCTAAAAGAGGGTTGTTTTCATTAAATAAATGACCTTCCACAGCTAGCTTTCTGCCCTCTTGACACTGTTACAAAAATAAATGTTCGAAGAAAAGGTAGTTTAGACAGATAAAGTATAGACATTAGATTTTGTTAGACATTTAAGAATAAATATTAGCGAGAAAAACACACAATGTTTCGATGACTCCATGTCATCATTCTCAAGTGAGAAGAAAATAAAAATGAATAGTTAATTTATACCATACGAAGGTGACAAAAGTAAAAAGTTAAAAAATTTTTAACTTTTAACGTTTGTCACCTTCGTACAGTATAAATTAACTATTCATTTTTATTCTCTTCTCACTTGAGAATGATGACATGGAGTCATCGAAACGTTTTGTGTTTTTCTCGCTAAAGTATAGACAGATAAAAGATAGTTTAGAACCCACTTTTGTTAAACAACAGCTAAACTCCATTTAAATAACCATCCCTCAGTATTCAGTTTTCTTGGTCATGCAGAAAGTCACTTCTGATCAATGTGTCTTGTATTCTAGTTATGTTTTATAAAAGATATCTTACACAAACTTTGGTCATTAAGTTAAATTTAAGTTTTCATTTTCATGTTTTAATTAATTTATAGTTCCAGCCATTCCATTGAAGATTTGTTGAAAAAGTGGGAACTAAAAGCTATCCAAATACCACTGGAGGATTTTAATGCAAATCATGGGAACATTGGTGGATCCAATCTGTCTGATTTGCACACTATTCAAATGTTGGAGATAACACATCAATAAGCCCTGGCTTAGTCTGTTTTTAAAACTGTTGTCTCTCAAATCATCCTCCAGAGGGCAAGAAAGAATAGGAGCCACAGGATTTAACAGTTGCAAACTTGCAAATGGGTTCTATTGTTCCCATTTGTCATAACACATTTCTTGGTTTACAGACATGAACCATATGTATATAAGAACGATCCTTCGCAGTAAAGCACTATTTGAGCAATAGTGGAAATCAAACCAGACCTGTTTCATATGTTTGTTGTTGTTAGACATGAACCATGTTAATATATATATATGCTGTTGGCTTCAGTGCATCTTTGAAAAAGCAAGGATCAGGCACCATTACTCAACTTTTCTGAACACTTGTTCAAAGGTGTTGGACAATAAATAAAACTTTCAACCTGCCAGGCTTTTTCTTAACAGTATATTTGCCCAGTAGGTGTTGTCTTTAAGCAAGTTTGTGGAAACTTGACCTGTCAATGAAAAAAGGTGACTTCTTGAACACCAAGAATAAGGGTTCAAGTAGGACAACAAGCTCCTTCTGAATCAACATAGGGGAAGAGGTTTCTTGTAAACTCTTATGTGCACTGCTGAGTTGGTTCGTACTCTAGAATATCCTTCCTGGTCCTGAAAATTGAAAACAAAATGTTTCAAGAAAAAAATTATTACTATCAATTGTGTATTTGAAAAAAGTCACATTTCAACTGTAATGCAATCACTATCATTTGTGAGTAAATTTTTTTTACCAGTTTTTTACTTAGCAACAACTTCATAAGTCTTTGAAGACAAAGAAAAGTAGTATAGAAAAACAATCTCTATTGGCAATAAAAGTGGCATGATGGGGGGATTTTCACCGTGACTTTTGACTTATTGGGATTTTGGTATTGTCAAGTTGTGAAAATAGGAAAAGTCGGGTGGTATATTTTTTACTTAATAGCAAATGATTTTGAGTGTTCAGGAATGATAAAACTGCAAAAGTTTTTTCTTATTTGTTATATACTTACATCACATTCAGGCTCAAAGTCATCCACAAGTTTGACACTGGAAGTTGTTGTTGATAACTGACAAAGAAAAAAGTTCTTTTAGTTGTTAACTTTCATGCACTTGAATGAATGTCTATAACCCTTGATAACTATGAAATGAGCCCTAATCCTTGGAAAAAAAAAAAGACCAGACTTGAGAAAAAAGCAAGAATCATGCCAACTCAATGTGCACCCTTTGTACCATGTGTATGAATCTAACATTAGGTGTCTTTCCCACTCCATTAAAAAAGATTTCCCTTTCTAATAAGCTACCTATTGCCAATTTGAAGAAACTGTTATGTCAAATCACCTCAACAGTTCCTTGTCCTCTTTGTTCAAGCTGCAGAGCCAGATTTATTGCACGATTGATTGCAGAACCCAAACCATGAATAGTTACCTCTTGCTCACTGAATAACAAAACAAAGGGAGAAAAACTGAAATTAAAAGGTTTCTTTGCTAATTTTTATGGGAAAGTAGTTGTATGGCCTTGTGTATATGAAAAAGATAGCATTGTATGGGTCATTACCCTAATGGACAACCTTGAGGAACAAGTGAGGAGTTATCATCCCCCATATTGGGCTTTGATGTTTTTTTTTATTCTTGTTTACAAAGAGAGTTGGAGGGGGAGTGGTTTGGGGGATATGGAAAGCCAGGAGATAAAACGGTACGAAAGGGGTACATATATGGTGTAACCTTTGGAGTTCAAGTAGAAAAGAAGAGAACCTGAAATTTCAAGGCGAAGTGAAGCCTGCCAACGTGCAGTAACATAACTTTTTCTTTTTTTCTAAATTTCTTGGAGGCTTCTGGCACAATCTACTTTAAACTATTTTCAATTATGAATACTTGCTTAAATAAAAGTGAATCGAAGTATCTGAAAAGTGGCCTCATGAAGCTTATCTACAGCAAACCTTGAATCAAGGATCTTTTGGCATCGTTCTAGTTGTCCAGCAAAGTCGGTTTTTCTGTTTACGTATATGTCATTTCGACGTTTTTGCTCCTTTTGAGGAGGTCTCCTTCTAACAAAATCTACGTAAGTTACAATAAAAGGAGAAATCATGCATCCATTTCAATCAAAATCAATTAACATCCTGAAATTAAAAGGCAATTCCACATACTTGCACCTCCTTCCGCCATTTTGATTCATGAAACATCCGCTGCACAATTGAAAAGCAGGCGCACATTTCAAGTCGGTTCTCTTGCAATCCATCTTGACTTAACCAGAAAGGTACTGAAGTGGGAGAGAGAAATCCTTGTAGATCTCAGACATCGTACCAATATTTCTTTAATAAACTGTCTCTTATGGTGCATTTTGTTATTCCGTCTTTCCACATTGAAAATTTTTGTTTTTTGTCCGCGTTTAAATTGGTAACGAGAACTTTTTTGTCCTCTTGTAGGTATCTTGCTGTCCCGTCCATTTCACAATGGTAAGTTCCGTAATTCGACTTAAGATTTAACTCTTAAGTTTAGTTTTACTAACCATACTCCACGCCTGGAGCCTGAGATGATAGCTGCGGCAGCTTAGGAACCTCCTAGTGATCCTTTTTTTGCCTTATTTTTTTGTTGTAGCCTAAGCAGATCCACGAAATTAAGGATTTTCTTATTACAGCACGGAGAAAGGATGCCAAATGTAAGCAATCAATAGTTCACTTCAATATTTTATTGTACCATGGTGTATTTGAATTGTAAGAATACTAGAATTTGCGCTGATTTGATTTGTAATTGTAATTAAAAACTGTACCCAAAATCATTTGATCACTTGTGGATGACATACAGTTTATAAGTTCCATGTAAACTTTCTGCACCAAAATTTTAACTTTTTGCACTGTTTAAGATTAATATGCGTTCTCTAAGCCAATTAACATGGAGAAATTTTCCATATATGATACAGAAATTATCCATATATAATTATTAAAAGAGACATGCACTTTGAGCAAGATCTAACCATGATATGGGACCATTTAATGTCTGAAAGTCATAGGAAAATCATGTATTTTTAATTATTTCCCCTTAAATAATATACATGAAAAAATTACTAAGTTCTGATAAATGCAGTTTTTAGGTAATTCAGTGCAGAAGAGAGTTGATTCGGTGCAGAAGAGGGTTAATTCAATGCAAAGAAAGTAACAAACCAGACATTCTGATTGGTCAGAATGATTGGTCAAGGTCAATGTCACTTACAGGGTTTGAATAAATTATTTTTGCACGTGATGCGCGCGCTTTTCTTCTGCATAATTATAATAAGCTACCTCGTATTTTTTCATGTATATTATTAATACATAATCACATGATTTTTCTCGTGCAATTTGGAATAAATAAGCATACGTAAATTTTTTCAAAGACCACAAATTGCACTTGCCCTACGGGCTCATGCAATTTTGTTAGTCTTTGAAAAAATTTACTCGTGCTTATTTATTCCAAATTGCACTCGAA